TATTTCACATAGTTTGTCACTATTTCAACCAATAGGTGGGTTATGATGGAAACATTTAACTTTTCTGCAAAACATGTCTAACATATATTATCCCTTGCCATCTAATCTGTAGCTATTCTACTATGCTAAAAGAATGATGGTGAATACAAGTTGGGCACGATCCAGCATTGTTTTGAAATGTCCCTGTCGATAACATTGGTAGTTTCACATAGTTTGTCACTATTTCAACCAATAGGTGGGTTATGATGGAAACATTTAACTTTTCTGCAAAACATGTCTAACATATATTATCCCTTGCCATCTAATCTGTAGCTATTCTACTATGCTAAAAGAATGATGGTGAATACAAGTTGGGCACGATCCAGCATTGTTTTGAAATGTCCCTGTCGATAACATTGGTAGGGTTTTAAAATTCTGTTTTTTGTTTTGTTTGCAAAAGGAAAGGCTTCTTAATAAACTGTAATTTATCTTTCTGGAAAATAATGTTAATATTGATATGCATTCTATTTCAGGTTCTCTCACCACATCTGCTCCAGCTTTCCACGTGGTTACAAAACTCTATTTTTAAATTTGATGTTTGCTGCTACCTCTGATATTAAACTCCACATTAAACACACACTAAAATATCAAAGTGGGTGTTATTCCCAGTTAGGATTTTTACATTTGAAAGACCTGTGGAGATATATTTCAATTTAAGGTTGAAGTGGTGTAATTCAGAACAAACAATATGAAACATGTCACATTCTTCTTTTTTACGTAGCAACAGCATAAGAATTTACTCTCCCAACATGACCAGCTTGTAGTGACGTTGGAAGACCACAAGAGTGCACTAGCAGCTGCACAGGTCAGAAAGGAAAACAGAATATCAGCTCTACTTTTTATGAGATCTGTTTAATCTTCTTGAAACTTTTTTATCTTACTTCAGCTGACTATAAGCTTATGCATGCAGCTTTTTTGCATGGGTATCTGCAGCGAACACCTTGCTATACACTCTGGAGAAAATGCATGCCTGGAAGTGCTGCTGCTAAATTTGAAATTATAGCAAATTAAATAATTTTTTGGTCTTTGACAACTCCGTTATGGATTCAAGTGAATGTATGCATTACTGATAAGAATGATATCTTTCCAAGTATGAGAGACTGCAGAAGGCATTCCTTTCTTTTTCCAATATACTTCAAATTGTGAAGGCTCTGACACTTGAGGAATAAATCATATTTAAAGAGCCAGTTCACTCAAAAAGCTCATGAGCTTTTTATATGAATTAGCATAAAAAGCAGGCGGCGCATAAATAACTAGCTGGTGCGATGGAGACAGAATGTGCATAGCGGAATGTAGCCTCCAGATGGGCTTTGGAGTCACTAAAAAGGAGGAGCATTAACAAATCTTTAAAAAAAAAAATTGTATATACAAGATAATGAACTAATACCTTCGTGGCAAATTACATAGTCAGCCACCTATTCCACTAGTAGCAACATGCCCTAGTAGTGAGGGATAGATCTGCTACTTATTTTGGGAAAACTATTACCAAAAGATAAAGGAAGATAATGATGAAATGAAAAGTTATAGGAGAAGCTAGGATAGTAGTCCCTACCTTTAAGTTAGTGTGATAAGAGAGTGAATTAGGAAGGAAAACTGGAATTTAGTGTAATTTAAAATAATTATATTAAAATCTTTGGAATAATGAGTGGGAGCTACAGAATTGAGTGTTCCTTCCTAAATACTGTTTGTGCTAAAGGTAGGTTATGTACTAATAGTGATTTGATGTTCTTCCATAATTGTATTTCATAGACTGAAAAAAGTAAAGACATGTCATTTCGATAGAAATATGCTCTGGAAGCCAGTGTTTCAAAATACAGTAAAACTCCGATGGTCCGGCATCTGATGGTCCGGCACTCCTGATGGTCCGGCACCATCAGGGACCCGGAAGTGCTCTGGGCAGCCGGACCATTGGAGCTGCTCTGCCCCCAGCTTTCCCCATTCAGCCGCTGCTAAAAATGACCA